CTTAAAAACTTCCAGCGTTGGAGCATTCACAACTTCTGGAGGCAGGTAGTTCCACTGACGTTCTGTCAGGAAATTTCTTCTTAGTTCTAGGTTGCTTCTCTCTTTGATTAGTTTCCATCCATTGCTTCTTGTCCTGCCTTCAGGTGCTTTGGAGAATAGCTTGCCTCCAGAAGCTGTGGGTGCTCCATCACAGGAGGTTTTTAAAAAGAGAGAGGACAACAATTTGTCTGAAATGGTGGTATAGATCTCCTGTTTTAGCAGGGGGTTGGACTAGAAGACCTCCAAGGTCCCTTCCAACTCTTTTATTCTGTTCTCACTTTCTAAGAATCTATAGTGGGCTTAGAAGTCAGACACATTTTTTACATAAGACATATCTGGAGAAATTCTTTTCTGAATAAGATGAACCTGTTGTTTAAGTCTGTGTATAAAGCAGATTTTCATGTTCTGATACTAACATCCTCAGATTGTTAAGAGAGCTGTGATGTAAATAGATTTACTAAGTTTTACAAGGGCTGATTTCTGTTCAATGCACAGGAATAAATGGGATTCTTTCCATGTATGAAATTTCTTTCAAAAGTCCATCTCTTTAATGGAAGTCGCCATTTAGCTGCTAAATCACTCACTGCCAGCAGTGATGGCAGACTTCATTTCTCTTAACAAGTCTGTTTATAAATAAATCTTTTATAATTCAGCCAAAGCAAATATGAGAAAATCCTTTATCAAAGTTAATAAATCTTAGCCCAATTTCAGCTGCCTATCAGCTTCAGCTGAAAAGACTGTTCAGATAATTGAAAAAGACTTGATCAGAGGAACTTCTCATTATGGAAAGATCTGCTTGTCATTGTGTTGTTTATGCACTATATAAAAGTGAATGGTTTTATTTTTATTGCTACATTATTCAAAACTGTCTATTGACTAAATTAAAATAAAAAAGGAAATAAATGCCCTCAGAGCCTACCAGAAGAAAATGCTCATTTCCTTCAAATCCTTCTCAAAAGACTTATTACTTATGAAGCATTTACTCCAACTTGGTTGGCCCTAAATCTTATTTTAAACTATATCTATGTATTTTACTATAAACTACGTCTAACTGGCATGGATATTTCTTCCCTGTTTTATCTTTTCCCTCTATATTTCTTTGGGCATTTTCTTATCAGAATGTCTGTTAGAGCGTGTACAGTCTTATTACATGAGAAGTAAACCCAGTAAACAGTGGTTTATATTAAATGGCGGTTTATCTTACACTAGCTACAATATCAAAACCCAGGAACAATATACAGCCACGTGCTAGTACAGCAACAAACCACAGTTACAGCAGTAAACGGAAGAGAGCGAACACATCAGTGTTCCCTTTATACAAAGGCTCTTAAAGAGACACTGACCCTGCTAAGTCATTCCCATCATTACATCTTAAATCTTACATTACATAAGTTGGTTAGCTGTTAAATCAATACCTTGACAATGTCTAATGCAATGTCCAACCTTGGCAACTTTAAGACATGTGGACCTCAACTTCCAGAATTCCTCAGCCAACTGGCTAAAGAATTCTGGAAGTTGAAGTCCACGAGTCTTAAAGTTACGAAGGTTGAACATCCCGGTGTAAAGCATTGGACATTTGGCAATAAATGCATCCCTACAGATAGTCCTAAGTTTATGTCCATTAATTCAGTGACTGTTCAAAGTTATGGTGGTGCTAAAAAAGTAGAGTTATGATCCATCCTCAAAGTTCTGGCCATCACAGCACCCCACAGATGATTGTGGTTCAGATGCCTGGGTACTTGACTTGTGATGATAATGTCGCAGTGAGCCACAATCATGTGATTGCCTTTTGCAATCTCTCCATCCACCCATGATCTCCCCTGACCACTGTTTGCTTCCACTGGTCCTTCTCAGGCCTCCCCCAACCTGTGCAGGTTCTGATGGCCTCCCAACTCTGTAGTGCCTATCCATGGTATCCTCTTCCCCATGGCACTACTACACTCCTTGTCTGGGACTCTTGCTTCTTCCCATTTAACAACCTGTGCGATCCTGGGGTTATGATGGCAACCAGGACTGCAATCACTAAATGATGTCATGTGATATTGTGCTTTATGATTGCTTTGCTTATCGATAGCGATCCTGGTTCCAATTGCCATAGTAACCATGGGACTACTTGCACAGCTCCACCTGATGTTTAATTTACTATATCAACGGATGTAATTATGATTTATTAGGATCTTGCAAAATTTGTTTCAAAGTTTCAGGCTCTTTATTTTAAAAAACAAATCATCAACGGGAAATACTGATGTTCTGTGTTCTGCTGAATTTAGGTTGTTACCATTCCCTTCCTTATGGTGTCATAAGGGATCTTTTCACAATATTGAATTCTTCTCCGAAGAATCTATGTATTCTTTTTAATATGAGAAGTTATGGTTGGAGGAAGCTGACCAACAGGCGAGAAAGTTTAGAGAGCAAAAGACAGTGTATAAAGCAGCACATGGATATAGTTGAAGCAAGCATATAAAGGTACAGAGAAGCATAGAGAATGAGATTGGCAATTTTATTTTCTTCTCTCATGCCTTTAATTTTTGTGGTTTGTTTTTACTGCTTTTCTGCTGTCTGCATAATTTCTTATCTGGAACAGAAAAAGTGTTAATGGATATATATTAGTAATAGTAATAGTAATAGTAGTAAAGTTGGAAGGGACCTTGGAGGTCATCTAGTCCAACTCCCTGCTCGGGCAGGAAACCCTACACCATTTCGGACAAATGGCTGTCCAGTCTCTTCTTAAAAACTTCCAGTGTTGGAGCATTTACTGCTTCTGGAGGCAAGCTGTTCCACTGATTAATTGTTCTCACTGTCAGGAAGTTTCTCCTTAGTTCTAGGTTGCTTCTCTCCTTGATTAGTTTCCACCCGTTGCTTCTTGTCCTGCCTTCAGGTGCTTTGGAAAATAGCTTAATTCCCTCTTCTTTATGGCAGCCCCTGAGATATTGGAATACTGCTATCATGTCCCCCCTTGTCCTTCTCTTCGTTAAACTAGACATACCCAATTCTAGCAACCGTTCCTTATATGTTTTAGCCTCCAGTCCCCTAATCATCTTTGTTGCTCTTCTCTGTACTCTTTCTAGAGTCTCAACATCTTTTTTACATCGTGGTGACCAAAACTGGATGCAGTATTCCAAGTGTGGCCTTACCAAGGCATTGAAGAGTGGTATTAATACTTCACGTGATCTTGATTCTATCCCTCTGTTAATGCAGCCTAGCACTGTGTTGGCCTTTTTGGCAGCTGCAGCACACTGCTGGCTCATATTTAAGTGATTGTCTACTAGGACTCCGAGGTCCCTCTCACAGTTACTACTATTGAGCATGGTGCCACCTATGCTGTACTTGTGCATTTGGTTTTTCTTGCCTAAATGTAGAACCTTGCTTTTTTCACCATTGAATTTCATTTTGTTAGTTAGTGCCCAGTGTTCAAGTCTGTCCAGATCCTTCTGTATCTGAAGCCTGTCTTCTGGAGTGTTGGCTATTCCTGCCAGCTTGGTGTCGTCTGCAAATTTGATGAGTTCCCCATCTATCCCTTCATCCAAATCGTTGATGAAGATGTTGAAGAGTACTGGGCCCAGAACAGAGCCCTGGGGCACCCCACTACACACTTCCCTCCATATAGATGCAGTTCCATTGAGGACCACTCGCTGAGTACGGCCGGTCAGCCAGCTACGGATCCATCTGGTGGTGGTTCTGTCTACCCCACATTTTTCTATCTTGTCAAGTAGTAGGTTGTGATCTACTTTATCAAATGCCTTACTGAAGTCCAAGTAAATTATGTCCACATCATTCCTCTGATCCACTAATTTTGTCACTTGGTCAAAGAATGCAATAAGATTTGTCTGGCATGATCTATTTTTGACAAACCCATGTTGGCTTTTAGTAATGACTTTGTTTGCCTCTAGGTGTTCGTTGATTCGTTGTTTGATTATCTTTTCCAGGATCTTCCCAGGTATTGATTATATATATTAATTTTAGTTTGTTGACCCTACCACAGCCAGGTACCCCCTGTGTATGTGCTAAGTACTGAAAATGCTGCTGCTCTAGAAAATGCATCTCTCCAACATGTACTGCAATCAAAACTAATTATGGGTTTTTTCTCACAGATGGTTGTGCAACTAGCCTCTAACAGCTGTCTCCACCCTTTGTGGGTTGGGGGAAGGCTTTTGTAGGGTTGTCCATGAATTAACTGAAGATTATCACCTTCAGATTATAGTTACATATCATTTATCAGCTTCAAGCAAGCAAAACAAATCCCCCTTTGTGTTATAATTAAACGTTATATCTCACATGTACTATTTCACTGCTGTCAATACATCTTTGTTTACAGAGAGAAAATGTTTGGCTTTTTAACCTTTGGAAATGTTTATAACCAGAATAAAAGAAAATGAGCCAACTGGAAGCATCAATGTTATTGAAGGAAAAAATAATAATTGCTCGCAATTTTAAACACTAAAAGGGAAACGTGGGATGTTTACATCTACAATATCTGGGCTGCAAATACCTGTTCAATTGCTCAGATTATCAGTATCCTTTTGCTGCCATTTCCTTTGTCGTTTGGAGCGGTTGTTTCTCAAGTTCAGTTAACCTTTGAAATGTTTGAAGTCTTAAATAAAGGCTGGGGAATTCTGGGAGTTGAAGTCCACACAACTTAAATTTGTTGAACTCGACAAACACTGATTTAGACAACGGAACGGGAGAATTTGCTTACTTTCTCTGCATTGCCTTACAAACAGCATTTCTTCGCTGCAGAAACACTTGAAAAACGTGCCTTCTGTTGCACAGTCAAAGCAGAATATTGCATACAATATTTAGAAATCCCCACTCCCACGATTTGAGTAAACACACTTCCTCAATAACCGTGCCCCTAATCCACTTCTGAATTGAGAAAAGACATGCGAAGTACTTATCGGAAGCGCGCATGCGCCACTGGGACAAAAAAAATCTGTCAAAGCTGCTGAGCCGTAACTGCTCATGTGATATTAAGGGAGGCGGGGCAACCTTCCAATATGGCTGCGCCCATGGGAAGCAAGTTGTAATGTAGTTGCCGCGTCTCGATGGTTTTCTGAGCACGCATGGATCGTGGGGATTTCTTGGTCTCCCTTGTGGTGAGTGAAGGAGACTTACAGTCCGCACTAGATAAACTTGGTTATCGGTGGAAGATCCTTTGAAATGGCTTTCAGGACAAAATCTTTTAATTATGAATTTAAAACTGCATAGCCCTTTGCCTACTAAACCCTTTTGAAACCTCCATGATCGTCTGATTTTGTATACGATCCTCACTCGGTGTGCGGGACATTTTGCTGACATCTTCACAGTTAAAAAAAGATCAAAAGGCATATATGCAAAGTCAAGATGAAGGGGAATGGAGCGAAAATGTGACAACTTCCCAGGGGGAGTCTTTTTTGCTACCATCTGGTGTCACCCGGATTTTTGCAGTTCAGAACTGGTAGTTTAGTAAAAAGAAGGATTAAAGAGATACACATTCTATAGATACTGGGAGTGGAACACATTGCAGTAATTTTAATTACTGGATTTGGACTGAATTCGGTTTCCTTTTGACACTGAACTTTTTTGATATTGAACAAGTTTCCTAATCATGCTGCTGCTAGCTATCTTCCTGCACAAGACCTGTTTAAAATAATTTTTATATCAAATATGATAGATTCAGCCGATGGCTGTGTTGTCTGGGTTCAAAAACTACTGTGAATCCTGATTAATATTTCGATGGAAGACCATCAATGATTTGGGATTGCTAAAAAAAAGGATGTTGGAAAAAAAGCAATGTTATTTGTTTTGTTGCAGAGAAAACTTGCATGGATGTGTCTGTGTAGCCCCCTGAAACAGCTTGACTAGAAGACATCTTGATTATAAATAGATTACAAACGCATGTGCTTTAAAATGTATTAATAAAAATAATTTAGTTCCCTCCCAATGAATTGTATATGAAGTTTGAATGAAAACTATAATTAATTGAATATATCCACTATTCAGCCTTCTGTATATTACTATACTTAGAAGGGATTGAAAATTTAAAGGGTTTATCCACCTAGAGCTTTGTGGTGTGATATTTCTTGCTTATTATTGTAAAATAAATATATCTGAATTCACTATGGTATGACAGGTATATTGGAAAGAAAATATGTGTAAGATCATGCAATAGGTAGTGTCTCAGTCTTATAAAAATAACACCCACAGTGACTACAACAATAAACTTTCAGTGCTCTCATTGTACTGGATTCTGCATTTCCATATTGGGATTGCAGAATTACCCCAGTGCCCACCCTGGAACTGCAGAACAATTACCCCAGTGCTCACCCAGGAACTACAGAACCCAAGGACTACTATATCTATGATCCCTGTTGCATTATTGGAAGACCTTAAAGATTAGGTTACATAATCATGGAGAATCTATGAGGTTGCTAAGAGTTGACAACCATATGATGACACATAATCAAATACAAAAAACAAAGTAAAAGCAGAATATACAAAGAAAAAAATCCCAAAATATACAAGATATATATTTGCACAACTACAAATATCAATAAATTGGAGCCATGATTCATAACATTTAGCCATAGTTGATCTATTTTAATACTGCAAACCACTGAATAACTGTGGAGCCATATATTTGTATTTCCAATGTTGAACAGTAAGTCTTATGATATCTTTCATTTGTATTCTCTGGGATCACACTTGCTAAAAATATTTGTGGTTTTAAATCAAATTTAATTTTCTGAACATTTTAGGGTATTTCTTTCCAGTACTTTTGAGTATTTTTACATAACCACCACATATGATAAACCATTCTTTTTTGTTGTGGCATTTCTAACGTTTCTTGTCAATTTATTTATTTGATTGATTGGTTCATTGATTTCTATAACCGCCAACTCAACCAAGTGACTCTGGGTGGTTGATTTATCTATCCTGGCAATTTTTAACAGAGTTATATACCATGTTTCATTTTGTACCAATTTTCCCTAAAACTGTAGCTTGGTATAAATGTTACTGACCTCTTCCATTGATCTGTGACCTTTGCATCTTCGACATTTTGCATGCATTTAATCATATAGTTTATTATTTGCTCTGTCTCCATATCATGTTTAATTAGCAATTTGTAACTATGTGGCTTAATAAATGATTTTAATTCTTTGTAGGTATTTTAAATTCTGTCATCTTCTTCAAAGTCCCTCCTTTCGTAAGATTGCTTTTTACTTTTCTGGTTGTTTACAAATATAATAACCACGGTAAATTTATTCCTTCGTTAAGAAGAATCTGTTTCCTCAGTTTTCATGTAGTCAATATATTGTTCAAAAGAATATGAGCATATTAAATCTTTTCTCAGGTATTCAGGTGTCTAAAATGTCTCCTGCTGTCCAAAAATAATGAAATGGCATAAAAAAATCAAGTTCTGTGCAAAGCTTTCTATTTCTCACTTTCAGAACTATAGAAGTAGTTCCAGAAAGGGTATCAATGTTCCTTTGCTGTCTAAAAAATCATTATTGTTTTCCACAGTTAAAATAGGCATCCAGGTATTTGTACTCTCTGGCAGGTGCTCCATTAGCTACTTCATGAATTTAAATTATGTCTAAGATAAAAAAAGTTTCAAATCCAAAGAACCAATTAGTAACTTTTGATTCATGCTTTTGCCAGATGGCTAGATTAAAACCAGATCAATTTTCTTTTTCTTCTCTTAATCACTTGCTACAGATAAGAATTCTGATGGAGAAAGAGCTAAAAGGATAGGGAGTAGTGAAATCAATGCATGCAAAATAGCCAAGCAGATTAAAAGAGTAATTAACTTATTGATTAAAATTTTAACTGAAGCTAGTGAGCACTTTTTGAATGAGATATCATGGCTGAAGATGACCATCCTTGACTTCTGCTGAAAAAGAACCCAATAATGCAAGGCAAACTAATTCTATGTCAACTTAAATTAATGACAATTGCTTATTACTTTTTCATTTTTCTTTGATAAATCCTTTGCTCATTCCTGAATTAGTGTTGGCGGTCATCCATCAGGATGTTGGACTATTTTGAGGTGCCGTTGAGGGTTGTTGATGATACCTATCCCAGAACAAGTAAAGAATATAATAGAAGTGTTGACCCAAGGATTGGATACTGCAAGGATTGGATGGGAAAGAGCTGACTTTAATTCCAGTAAGCAGAGGTGCTATGTTTTTTCAGAAACTATTTGGCCTTTGCCTGCTTCAGTTATAACTCTGGATGGGAAACAACTTTCCACTAAGAGCAGATTTGTGACTTGAGACACCTCTAGACTTACTGCTAGATAGATAATTGCTTGTGGGGGTTTTGCCCAATTTGGGCTATTGAATAGCAGTTACCTACCATCTTATCACCTCTAAGATTGACTTCTACAGTGCCCTATGCTTGGGGTTATAATAATAATAATAAAGTTGGAAGGGACCTTGGAGGTCATCTAGTCCAATCCCCTGCTCAGGCAGGAAACCCTATACCATTTCGGACAAATGGCTGTCCAGTTTCTTCTTAAAAACTTCCAGTGTTGGCGCATTCACCGCAGGTTGTTCCACTGGTTAATTGTTCTAACTGTCAGGAAGTTTCTCCTTAGTTCTAGGTTGCTTCTCTCTTTGGTTAGTTTCCATCCGTTGCTCCTTGTCCTGCCTTCAGGTGCTTTGGAAAATAGCTTGACTCCCTCTTCTTTGTGGCAGCCCCTGAGATATTGGAACACTGCTATCATGTCCCCCCTCGTCCTTCTCTTTGTTAAACTAGACATACCCAATTCCAGCAACTGTTCCTTATATGTTTTAACCTCCAGTCCCCTAATTATCTTTGTTGCTCTTCTCGATACTCTTTCTAGAGTCTCAACATCTTTTTTACATCGTGATGACCAAAACTGAATGCAGTATTCCAAGTGTGGCCTTACCAAGGCATTGTAAAGTGGTATTAATACTTCACGTGATCTTGATTCTATCCCTCTGTTAATGCAGCCTAGCACTATGTTGGCTTTTTTGGCAGCTGCAGCACACTGCTGGCTCATATTTAAATGATTGTCCACTAGGACTACGAGATCTCTCTCACAGTTACTACTATTGAGCAAGGTACCCCCTATACTATATCTGTACATTTAGTTTTTCTTGCCTAAATGTAGAACCTTAGTTTTTTCACCATTGAATTTCATTTTGTTAGATAGTGCCCAGTGTTCAAGTCTGTCCAGATCCTCCTGTATCCTAAGCCTGTCTTCTGGAGTGTTGGCTATTCCTGCCAGCTTGGTGTTGTCTGCAAATTTGATGAGTTCCCCATCTATGCCCTCGTCCAAATCATTGATGAAGATGTTGAAGAGCACTGGGCCCAGAACAGAGCCCTGGGACACCCCACTACACACTCCCCTCCATGTAGATGCGGTTCCATTGAGGACCACATGCTGAGTACAGCCGGTCAGCCAGTTACGGTTGCCTTTGAAGACTCCTCAGAAGCTGAGTAATGATGATGGCACATAAAAAAGCTATAGCACCCATTTTGGGGGCCCCACATTAGCTTCCTATAGCCTTCTGAGCCTAATTCAGAATGCTCGCCTTACTCTATAAAATTGTTTTATTGCCTAAACATTTGCAGAACTGCTTCTTTCAGAACTGATCCTTCTACTATGTTGGTCCCCAGAAAGGACTGCTGGAAATTTGGGGAGGATTACCAGATCTTGATATTTTACAGTTTGTGCTTCGCTGGTACTGCATTCAGGACGAAATTCATAGTTGTGTTCTTCTGGAGAATTTTTAATTAAATGGCACTTCTAAAGTCGGTGTGGCCATTTAATATGGATGTTGGGACCTGTTTTGTGATTTTGTTGCTGATTTTAATTGTCTTAAGGATTTTATTTTTTTGTTTTCTAAGTCATCATTAGTCTTCTTTTCATAAATATTGCAGATTTTCACATAAGTAAAAGATAAACATGAAATAATATAGAGTAAAATTAAAAACAAAAGAAAGATAAAAGAAGTAAAAAAGTAACTTACAATTTTACTTCTGCCGTCTCTGTTTAACTTTGTTTAAGAGTTGAAGCGCACAAACCACAACCACGTGACTGTAAGATGCTATAATTATAAATGGCAGTTGTGAGGATCCCTATGGTAATCATGTGAATGCAGGTTGTCGCAGAGGATGTAAATGTGAGGACTGGTTGCAAAGCTGACTTTTTAAAACATTATTGTAATTTAGAACGATCACTAAATAAGGCTATCAATAAGTGAGGGTTACCTGTACTGCAGTGAACTCTTGATTGCTGAAAGCTGAAGTTAACATTTGGAGTTGCCTGATGCAAGGCTCATGGTGAATGAGTTGTTTATACTAAATGGGGAGATTTGTGCTATGCTTTGGAGCGCATGGTAACTAAGTCAATTCTTCAGCACTGGAGATGGATAATCCACCAATGGGTTTAGACTGTGTTCCTGCCCAATCAGATCAAGTCAGCCAAAGTTGCCATGCCCGTCCTGGACCATAGAGATCCCATTCTTGTCTTGATCTCGCCCAGGACAGTTGTGCAAGTTTGGCTGTTAGGCAGGTACAGTCTCTATTGGTAGATTTTCCATTTCCAAATTGCTGAACAGTCCTATATTCAGCACAGAATTTGGCCTTCTAGTACTAATTATTCCTCCTTTTCCCATTCAAAGAGCATCCTGCTTTCCTCTTGATTCCTAATTCGGGGGGGAGGGATAAAAAAACTGGGTCTTTTATAAGGAAGGGGCTCCTTCCGGCCGCCCAGAACTACTATGTGGTAAGATGGGTGGCCAATACATTTTATAAATAAATGAACCAAGAAAGACTGATTGCCTTTTGGAGAAGCACCTTTGGGTCAACCATGACCTGGGTGATTGAGAAACTCCATAGACTTAAGAATAGATTTATAAAAATATTTCTTGTTTCAGAAAGGTGAAAAATCTTGCAAATTATATACAGCGGTTGTGATAATTTTTGTCTGCATGACAAAAACGTTTAAAGGCTGGGGCCTTCATCTGATGCTCTTCACCCACCCACTTTATTGAAGTTACTTGTTTTGTTCCTTAATTTCTCCTTGGTCCCAAGTGAGACAGAAGCAATAAGCAGACCCTTTATAACTTAGGCTTAGCGCAATGTTGTCACTGGATAAATGTTAGCTATCTGATCACATCTTGTGGCTGTTAGTGCCGCATATTTATATTTCAGAACTGTTTCTTGTGCTAATGGCACATCATGTTGACATCATGTTTGCATATTGTAATGAGCTTTCCTGGATTTTACCATCAATATTGGAATAGCTGATTTGCTTCTGTCATTTCATCCAAACTAGAAAAGAGCAATTATGTCCCAATGAAGTAATGATAAAATGTGGAGTTAATTATTTTTCTTCCCAAATGACACGATTTAAATCTATAACTTTCATTTATTTTGTTTTCAAACATTCAGTATAGGTATCTACTTCTGGGAGTGTCATTCCCACATGTCCTGTTGTATCATATTGGAAAGCATTTTTAATTTGTTTGCATGTTTTGTTATTTTTACTATAAACCCCCTTTTAGATAAATCAGAGTAGGACAATAATAATTCTGTATAGCTACAGGTTAAATATTAATTGAACTTTCATACTCCAGCATTAATAATTATTCTTCTTAATTTTTGTTTTGCTTGAAAAATTGGCTGCTTGATTCCCCTTCTGAAAATGATGACGTGGAATTACTTAGTAGCCCAGAACAGAATAGGAACTTAGATACTGGGCTGTCTGTATCAAGGGCTGATTTTCAAATAAATTGGCTTATTTAATGTGTTCTTGATTTCTGACAAATCATTGTTTTTTTTTTTTTTTTGCTGATATTAATAATGGTTTTTTTTTTGCTTGTATCTTTATTTTTTGAAGGCTGGCGGGCTAGCTGGTGTGTGTGTGGATCTGACATTATTTCCTTTGGATACACTCAAAACTAGATTGCAGAGTCCTCAAGGACTTAAAAAGGCTGGTGGTTTCCGTGGCATTTATGCTGGAGTTCCTTCTGCTGCCATAGGATCTTTTCCAAATGGTAAGGCATTCTGTGCAACTGTCTTTCCCAGTTTTATTCTACAGTGACCTCCCTCTAATTGATCAAAGGAGCTTTTCCCAAAGGCAACATTCCTTGAAAATGTTTTGCTTCTCATCCAAGAGGCTTCTTCAGTTCCAACTGAATGGTGGGGAATGGAAGGATTCTAGATAGGAAGAAGGATGTTTCTCATTTGGGAGCCTCTTCCCCTAATGAAAAAAAAAGCAACCAGGAGACCCTGAATTCTAATTCCACCTTCAGCATGAAAAACTGGCTGGATGACTTTGGGCCAGTCAATCTCTCCCAGCCCATCCCACCTCCCAGGTTTGTTGTTGTTGCTGTTGGGAAACTAGGAGACTGTTTGCTGCCTTGAGTTATTTGTAAATAATAATAAAGGTGGGATAAAGGTGCCTCAAATTCTGAGATGGGTGGCATGTAAATTTAATAAATAAAAATAATGAATGAAAGTCAAATCAATAATAATAGAACTGTCAAATTTTAGAGAAGAAACAGTTTTATTACACAAGTAGGTGTCTGTTTTGGACAATGTAAGGATCTCATTCTTTTTGATGTAGATACCTGACTTTCTAACTTCCTTAAACTTAATTTGCTTTTTAATTTCGATGAATACAACAATGTTATCATTGTTTCTAAGCTTCGTCTTCCGAAGGTGGATGTTAACATAGGTTTATAGAATCATCCTCAGGCGTCTTTTAAACTTACTAAGCTCTTCCCAACTTACTAATGTTTCTGTTTCTTTTTTTTTAATCTTCTATTTCCTTATCTTCTTTTGGAGAAGATAAGCATCTTTCGATTAGCCACAGAGGGCAACAGAGGTAGCCCTGAAACAGAATTAGCAACTGCTCCTTTTGACACGTCCACTCTTTTTCTCTTACACCATTTGTATTTTTAAATTCTGAACTTTGTCCTATTTTTATGGTTACAGACAAATTTACTTGAAGAGTAAATTAGAGTTACAGAAAGCCACCTTTAATATCAGGGGAAACATATATTTTGATTTTCGTTTTTGCCAGTATGAAATACTGCTGCCAATTCATAATGCAGTCTTTCATTTTATGCTGCTTCTTTAGAACACTTACACTTAGAAGAAAAAAAAATAAGATATTTAAAATAACACTTGACTGAATTGGGTTGAATTGCAAAATTGCTTATGTATGTGCTTTCTGAAGCAGAAGTCCTGAAAAACATAAGAGGTGGAAAAAGACATGGTTTTTGATTTGATGCAAGAAGTAAAAATAGTTTATATGTATTCATTTTTACCTTTATGTTTTGCTTTGTTTTTTGTTTTCTTTGTCTCAGAGGTTCCCATGCTAAATCCTTCAATGGCTTTTTTTAAATTTAGGAAAGTTTGTAAGCTAGTTTGGGGTTTCATTGAATGAAATAAGTGATTGAAATAAAGTAACATGTTGCATTGGTGAGTCTTTGGGACTTCTAGTCTCATCTCTTAGATCTACAAAAGTACTGTGTATAATTTTTTACATTTTATGTTCACATCAACAAAAGTGCTGCTACCTGAAGATAGGACTTATATTAGATTTAGATATTCTCTCCTTGCAGTAAGAGCACCCCTAGTATTTTTCTCTTAAAACCTATTTTAAAATTGCTGGCTTCAGTTGATCAGTGTTTAAAGGGACATGGTTTTTCAAAAACCATTTAAAAACATTTTAATTCTGGAACATAGTGTCAAATAAGGTGGGATTCAATGCTTTGAATCTGAAGTTATGCAGGTGAGTGATAGTTGGTGAATGATGGGCTAGCACTGATGATGTTACCTAGTTTGGTAAAGAAATGTCTGCAAGAAAATCATCAAGCTCAAAGAGCACCAAGGACAGTTCCTTCCTGAGTTATAAATATTAAAATTAGATTAAAATAATCTTTATTGTCATTTTTTACTATGAGCATACTGGCTCACATTAAAAATGAAATTCTGTTGCTCACTCTCAAATGATCCCTCACCTCCTCTGAAACACCATTTTGGCCTTGGATCCAAAGTGCTGTTTGTAAGCACAGGTGTTCTTCGACTTACATTTAGCAATTTGTCAGAGTTACAACAGCACTGAAAAAACCTGACTTACGACTGGTCCTCGCACCTATGACCATCACAGCATCCCTGTGGTCATGTGATCAAAATTTGGGCACTTGACAACCAGCATGTATTTGATGTTGAAACTCTAGTCTAGAAAGAGTACAGAGAAGAGCAACAAAGATGATCAGGGGACTGGAGGCTAAAACATATAAGGAACGGTTGCTGGAATTGGGCATGTCTAGTTTAATGAAGAGAAGGACGAGGGGTGACATGATAGCAGTGTTCCAATATCTGAGGGGCTGTCACAAAGAAGAGGGAGTCAAGCTATTCTCCGAAGCATCTGAAGGCAGGACAAGAAGCAATGGAAGGAAGATAATCAAACAGAGAAGCAACTTAGAACTAAGGAGAAAATTCTTGACAGTTAGAACAATTAACCAGCGGAACAACCTGCCTCCAGAAGCTGTGAATGCTCCAAAACTGGACATTTTTTTAAAAAGAGACTGGACAGCCATTTGTCTGAAATGATATAGGTTTCCTGCCTGAGCAGGGGGTTGAACTAGATGATCTCCAAGGTTCCCTCCAACTTTATTATTATTATTAAATACTATAGTTGCAGCATCCTGGGATCATGAGATTGCTGTTTACAACCTTCCCAGATGGCTTCTAATAATCAAAGTCAATGGGAGAAGAGAGATTTGCTTAATGCCTGTGCAGTCCAGTGACTCACTTAACAGCTGTTGGACAAAAAAAATCATGCTGATTCACTTAACAATCAACTTGCTTAGCAATGGAAATTCTGATTGTCATAAGTCGAGGATTTCTTGAAGTTAATTGTATTAAATTCATATTGTTGCCCATCTCACTGTAGTGACATTGGGCAGCTAAGTAATGTTAAAAATACTGTATAAAATAATAGGAGAAACCAGTATATCTGGATACTCCTAACTCTCAAAGTCATTCAGTCTTACTAGGGTTCAGCTGAAGGCTGTTCTTCCCGATCCGGGATCTCACAGTCTCCACATGTCAAGAAAGCATCATATGGTTGGCCCCCAAATGTCCCACTTTTTGTTTGTTGGTATTTGTTGTATTTCCAAGAAAACAATCATTTGGCTTTTCTAGTTGTCTTATCATTTCTCCGTATTTTAAACTTATCATTTTTAGTTTTATCATTTTTGGATCCTTTTTGGAAAAAAAAAGAAGAAAGGTTGGGTTACTGACATTCCATCTCTGAAAGATTGTGTGTTAGAGACAGCATGGGACCTAGTCGTCTTTGTTGTTGGATATGTCAGACAATTTGACAACATGATGAGGATTATCATAGAGAAGGCTTGCTCCTTCACAAAATGACTATCTTAGCAGCATGGCTGGTTAAAAAAAACTGGAATGGGGGGAAAGATGCCTGATACTATGGAAAATATTTGTAAATATGATGGTTCCTACAAACAAAGGGGAACATCTTCTTTTGATATTTACTGTATATTGTACAAACATTGTGTGTAATCATAAGGACTCTTAGGGGACTTATAAGACATTCCATTTTGTATTTCAGCTGCTGCCTTTTTTGTCACTTATGAATATACGAAAGCTGTCCTGCACACAGATGCTTCTCCATATTTTGCTCCAATAATTCATATGATGGCTGCCTCCTTTGGAGAAGTAGTAAGTAAAAGTTTATATTTAGTGAAATGTACTTAAACAACCCCATTGTTATGATTTTTCCTACCTTCTGGAGTAACTGGGTAGTAATGTATAAGATAATGATTATATAACATAAAAATAATTAAAGCATACACTCGTGACAGCAGCTACATCTCAATTCTAAATAGACAGCTATATCTGAATTCCAGATAGAGTAGATAGGATTGTAGAAGATAACTAAAATTCAGTAGCACCAGAGTCAACTGTGTCTCCTAGAAAAAAGATTGATAACTGTGGTTGTTCTATGAAATGGCCTTGTCTTAAATCACTACCCCAAGGTACATCAGCATAATAGTAAAACAGCAGTAATAAAACACGGATTTATCAATACTGAGAAAGACATATATATCTACTGTGTCACTGCAATAGTTCTTCTCTGAAGCTGTTAGAGTATGGATAAATCAATTCACACAATTCCATTTTAGTAATGGCTGGGTTGATAGCCTAGTTCAGTGGTGTCAAACTCACCACGTCACGTGACATGTCACGACGTATCATGACTTTTTTTCCATTGCTGGCAATGGGTTGGGCATAGTTTCGCCATGACGCATCCAGTCCGCAGGCCGGCAGTTTGATGTTTTTCAACTTCAGCAACTTTAAGTTGCGTGGACTTCAACTCCCACAATTCCACAGCCAGTATGTTAGTTGAGGAATTCGGGGAGTTGAAGTCCACACATCTTAAAGTTATTGAGCTTGAAAAACATTGGTCTGGTTGAAAATCTGCAATGCTTCTTCTTATTACTAAGGCTATCTATACTTTGGAAAATAATTTTGTGCTAAAGAGAGATATATGGACCTGTTTCTTCCCATCAATAAGCATCCTCCAGGAAGAGACCATCTACCCACAGTATAGCCCACTTCAGCTTATTGGATATCAATATTACCTCCATATAACTTGCCTGGGCATTTACCGTACTTTCCGGCGTATAAGACGACTTTTGAGAGCGTTGAAATTGCCGCCGAAGTCAGGGGTCGTCTTATACACCGAGTCGTCTTATACGCCGGAAATAACGGTAGTTTCCGGCGTATAAGATGACTTTCTAGGCATGCGACTCGGCATCGAAGTCAAGGGTCGTCTTATATGCCGGGTCGCCTTATACGCCGGAAAATACGGTAGTTAAAATGGACAAAAGGTAGATGGGTTGTAATTTTTCTTCTCTAACTTTCCGGTTGCCATTAGCTTTGCCAGGAACCTGGAGCCATGGTGTGCTGGTCTCAGAGCTGGCACCAGTGAATGAGAATTTCTCATTCCCTTCTCCCCTGCCAAATGCTATTGAACTCTTTGATTGATTCTTCTTTGTGACCCAAATTGCACGCAGAAGAGTAAAAATTGTAATTATAGCTTTATTGATTAGTCATTAAACTTTAATCAAGCCATAACCACAGGAAAAGACTATTATTTGGTAAGCAGGCCTCAACTTTCAGCACCGCTTCCCTCCCCACACTTTAATTGTTGTTGGACTGTAACAAATGGCTGGCATATAGATATGTAGTAATAAGATGCAGGCACAAGCGTAGGTTCCTGTGAAATTGCTGTTTTATGTTCTCAGAATGTCTCTAGTGCATTGCAAAATCATGGCCCTACTCTATAGATTGCTCTGATTGAGCTGGATAGGATAGCAGGCTTTTTTATTGGCAGCTCCTTGTGAATTCTCATCAGGAGAGACCTGACTTCTATCTTGCAGCTTTCTGTTGGAGGAGAAACATTCAAGTGATCCTTGAAAGTGCTCAACTACGAATCGCAAGGCTCTCTATTTTAAGGAGGCTCCACGGCTGAGTGATCCAGAGCATGCTTTGCCTACAGAAGGTCCCATATGGCCTGGGATTAGCCTGAAACCCAGAGAGTCATTATATCTAGGTAGTCCTCAATGTACGATCACAATTGAGCCCAAAATTTCTGTCACTAAGCAAGACCGTTGTTAAGTGAGATTTGCCCCATTTTAGACTTTTCTTGCCACAGTAGTTGAGTGAACCCCCTGCAGTGGTTCAGTTAGTAACACAGTTGTTAAGTGAATCCGGCTTCCCCATTGATTTTGCTTGTCAGAAGGTCGCAAAAGGTGATCACATGATCCCAGGACATTGCGACCGTCATTAAATATGAACCAGTTGCCAAGCATCTGAATTTTGATCACGTGACCTTGGGGATGCTGCAATGGCCCTAAGTGTGAAAAAAACAGCCATAAGTCACTTTTTTTCAGTGCTGCTGTAACTTCAGATGGTCACTGAACGGAATGGTTGTAAGTTGAGGACAACCTGTAGACACTATAGACACTATAGTGAAAAAGCTTAACTCTTTCATTCACAATATAGCTTGGTTTTGGATTACTATGTTGTATTAATGCAGGATTTGTGTTTTAGCATATTATACGAATCCAACAAAAATGAGGTCTTTTTTTTAATAACCCATTGACTGCTTTTTCTTCTGTTTTCATATATATATATATATATATATATATATATATATATATATATATATCAGTGGTGGGATTCAAATATGTAAACAAATGGCTCTCTGTGTGGATGCCCCTTCCAGAAGTCCATTCTGGGCAACAAAAAATTAGCTACCAGTTCTGCCTAACTGGTGCGAACTGGCTGAATCCCACCACTGCCCTGGTTGGGTGTTGAAAGGAAAGAAAAAGCAGAAAATTCTCCTCCCCTTTTACACACACATATGTGTGTGTATATAAATACAAAATACAAAAAGGCAGAGGAGAATTTACTGCTTTTTCTTTTCTTTTAACACCCACAGGTTAAATGTTAAATTTAATTGATCATTTTTTCCTCTTTTTTTGTACACTTTTTTTCCTTTTTGTTGTTGTTAGGGTTGAATGTATGCTTTTTTTTGTTTCATTTTGTTTGTTTGTTTTTACTGTTTTGTATTTTATTTTTTTTATGATAAAACAATAAATATTAAACCAAATGAGGTCTATGAATTAAACAATTATTAAGCAATCATTGCATTAGTCAACCATTTATCTGGCTTGAACAAGAACCTAAACTTTAAAGTATGGTTTATATGCCATAATGGCTGACTTCACATCCTGCCCCAAACCATAATGTAGTTAGCTTTGGTTCTGAACGTTGTATGAACCTGAGCTGCATAAAGCGGCTCAGGTGTCTATGATCCAATGTATGATAAAGGGACTGATAGGACATGAGCAGTGACTTTTGAACAAATTACAACAGATTCTGAAATGTTCATAAACTTTGGGGCCTGTTCATGTTATAAAAATGCTAGGATTCTGCTGAACTCTTGTGCAAGAGAGTAGTTAACAGTGTTAAAAGTGCTGGGGGGGGGGAGGAAATGAGAGTCTGCCACTAGAGCAGTGTTTCTCAACCTTGACAATTTTAAGGCATGTGGACTTCAACTCCCAGAATTCCACAGCCAGCATTGCTGGCTGTGGAATTCTGGGAGTTGAAGTTCACATGCCTTAAAATTGTCAAGGTTGAGAAACACTGCACTAGAGCCTGTTGGAGAAAATGAAGGGCAGTTATATTGGGAGGAGACTCAAATTATGGCTGCAGCTGGAAATTGCTTGTAAATCAAGATGAATGGAAGCAGAGAGTTACAAGCCACACCAGCAGATTCATCACACAATTAAAGGCCCAAACCAGCAAATTAAGAACTGTCAGCTTTCTAAGCAGCTGCCCACATGGTTTTTATGGGAATTATATTCAGGCGTGTTCTCTTTCTGTTTTTTACAACCCACATTACTTCAGTTTATACGATTTACTATGCTGCAGATGTTGTTGCTTCCTCCTAACCTCCAAACTCCCAAGAGTTATGTTTAAACTAGTGATAAATGGTATAGTAGTTATAGGTAGCCCTGGCTAGGTAGTAGATACGGATATATATTTGTAGACTATTTTGAGATTGCAGTCCTGGTTCAGTAGTAGACTTCATCTCTTTGTTCTTTTCCCTGCTTTTTCCTACTATAGCTGTAACTTAAGTCTTTACCCTCTCCCTTACAGTTAGCATTTTCAAGATTTATTTTTTATGATTGGCCTTTTAGTTTAACCATCAGAAGAGCTATTGAACTATGATCCCCAGCCTTCTTCACCCAAAGGTCCTTCAAAATTTTTGGGACCATAACTACTCAAGGAGAGAAGCAACCTAGAACTAAGGAGAAATGTCCTGGCAGTTAGAACAATTAACCAGTGGGACAACCTGCCTCCAGAAGCGGTGAATGCTCCAACATTTTTAAGAAGAGACTGGACAGCCATTTGTCCGTAATGGTATAGGGTTTCCTGCCTGAACAGGGGGTTGGACTAGATGACCTCCAAGGTCCCTTCCAACTTTTTTATTGTTGTTGTTGTTGTTCTCGGAATAGCTAAGCTGGCTTTCATGCCAAAACTCAAACTCGTGACATCACGTGACGTGTCGTGACATTTTGCAACTTTTTTCCCATTGCTGGCAATGGAGTGGGCGCAGTTTTGGTGTGACGCATCTGGCCCATGAGCCAGCAGTTTGACACCCCTGTTCTTAGGCTTCTTTCAGGGCTTCAGGTTTACATATTTCTGCCTCCCTCCTCCAAATTTATGCGAAATGTGTGGACTAAGTGGCCCAGTGGACCTCCATGGCTATGAGAGACGAAGCTCCAGAGTCTCAAAGACCACAACTACTACTGCAGACCAGCTTATTACTTCAAGAGGAAGGATTGCTTCACTCTAGCAATGTCAGGACACAGTGTGCACATTTTTGTCTGGGTCATGAAGCAGTAGCTTCATCGTTAACTTTCACATCATGCTTTCTGATCACATCTCAGTCTGTCTCCTCTGATTAGGTGATGAGTTGGTGTGATAAGAATGATTGATGATATTGGCCTGTGATAACAAGTTCAGGCCAAGCAGGTTAAATGATAAAATTTTACTGATGAAAACTATGTTTTTGAAACATACCTATTTTGAAAAAATCTTGGATTTTTTTTTTTTTTTTTGTAGAGAGTCAAGTCTTCTGGTTGCTGAAGTTTAGGTTACATCACTCATAGTGAGTGTCCATAAAGCTCAAGGTGAAGTGTCCTCCACTAAAACCAGACAGCAGAAATGATTGAAGGGATGAGGAGTAAATATATTATCACTATTTAATATATTAATTGTAAAATATGATATTTTAGAATTCAGAAGCTAAAAGATGCATGGCTGGTAACATAGCAGTGTTGAATTTTCTGTTGTTTCCTGTATTGGAGTGAGATTTGTAGGGGATTTAAAGGGCAAAATGGATGGTTTAAAACATTGTGAATGCTTAACATGCTTACTTTGTCCCTTACTTTCTCCAGAAAATAGGTGAAAATTGGTACTTTTTCTGCTGAATTTTTGGCAGCTTACTTTAGGAGGTCAAATGAGGTTGCATGTGGCCTCTGTGGCTTTCTGTTATTTTTATTTAGATTCATTGCCTCATTCCTTTAGTGGGCAATGAAATTCAGGACTTTCAGTTATGAATGCTTTCCAATATATAGGTAGCCCTTAACTTACAATAGTTCATTTAGTGACCGTTCAAACTTATAACAGCGCTGAAAAAAGTAAATTATGACCATTTTTCACATGTACAACCCTTGTTTCTTTAAGAGCCACATGATGAGTCAATTCTTTGCTTGTTTGGTGGGGGTGGGAGCAAGGGATTGCAAGACTGGCTGGGAAATTGTCACGGGCTGTTCAAAATGGCTATCATGTGACCATAGCAGCAGCCTGAAGCAACCACAATTTCCCCAAATTTCATTTCCTTAGGAGTTACGGTTCTTTGATTTTGGATGCATTCTGTATCTAAGCCCTTTTGAGGTAGCTTGATTCAAAAATTGTTGCCCTGTGATGTTCTGTTTTGCCTAGTTAATGGTAATGTCGAGAGTTTTAGTAGTATAGAGGTAGATGTAGTTTTTTTTTTCCATTGTCCTCCCAAACATTTGAAAGAGTTAGTGTCAAACTTTTCGCAACAAAAATAGATCTGTGCTTATGAAGTATTGCAGTTGTGATCACTAGATGGCAGTATTGGCCCATATATTAAATAATGAAATGTTTAAGGCAATCCTCAAAAAAAGATAGGAAAACAAGGACCTGAAGATATAGGTAAATCATTCAATTCATATAAAATTGCTTCAGAAGACAGTATAAGGGATAACAGACTTAAAATGCAAGGTTTTGGTTGAGCATCAGAAAAAGATTCCTATTGGTAAGTACTATTTAAAAGTGGAACAGATAGATTTGGGAGATAGTTCTCTCTGTCTGTCTCTCCCCCTCCTCCCTCCCTCCCTCCCTTTCTCTTGGAAGTGTTTAAATTTATGCTCGGTGACTGTCTGTCAAGGATGCTATTGCAATAGATTCTTTGACTGGGCAGGGTTTTCATCTAGCTGACCTTTAAATTCTTTCCATGCTATGATTTTATGACCATACTGATGTTTCATTGCCAAAGAAAAATATCAAATAAAAAAGATAGGTTAGTGGGTTGATTACTAGGCAAGCATTCAATGCAGGAAAACCCATGTTTTCCATCAGTCATATAAGGAATAAGATAAGTGGCCCAATACATCTAGACAACCTATTGAGGATTGATTTTCAAGAGTCCTCAGGTAACTATCTGGGTCAAAATCAGTGAGAATAATTTATTTCAGTAGGTAGCCTGTAGCTTGAAAGCACACAGAATGGCTGTTCTTTGCCATTAGCTCTCTGTGACATGTACAATAAAATAAATGCAATAAGCTGAAGAGTTCTGATGTAAGTGAAATGGTCACCGTTCTATCTGCGGTGGAACTCAATTTACCTTGAGAAGCTTGTAAGAAGAGAGTGTTCTATAGAATTAACTTGAGAAAAGTTAATTGGGGTTTGTTTTTGTTTCTTTGTTTTGTTTGTTTTTCTGAACACCGGAATATGAATCACACATGGGGAGGTGAGATATGTCCATAGCCAGAGGGGAGCAGTCAAAGATCAAGTTCTGGGCAAGGCTACCCATTACACTCACTGCGCCTATCTCACTGCCATATCATCACATGTCCCAGAGCACTATAGGATAGGATAGAATAGAATAGAATAGAATAGAATAGAATAGAATAGAATAGAATAGAATAGAATAGAATAGAATTAGTATAGGATAGAACAGTGGTGGCAAACCTATGGCACGCGTGCCAGAGGTGGCACTCTGTGGGCACATGTTGCCCCAGGCTCACCTCCCTCCATGACCCCCTCCTCACCAGCAGCCCCGCTGGAGAGAGTCGCCTCCGAACATGGCCCACACGGAGCAGTGTAGCCAAGGACATGGCAGCCAGGCAGCGTAGACAAGACTCTGCCTTCGTGCCCTTTCTCACATAGTTGATGCTGCAGGGCGCAGGCAGAGGGTTTGGCCGCCATGGCGCTGCTGGCTGCGTGGGTGATCTGCGGTGGGCCCTGGAAGCAGTGAGTGGCAGGGTGGGGGATGGGGTGGGGGCGGGGCAGGGCAGGGCAGGAGGTGGAGTGGAGTGGATGCAGGGCAAGTTTGGGGGCACTCTAAAAGGTTCGCCATAACTGGGATAGAATTACCATAGGAATAGCATAGGAGTAGAATGGAACGGAATGGAACAGAACAGAACAGAATAGAATAATAATAGAATAGAATAATAATAGAATAGAATAATAATAGAATAGAATAATAAACAAGGTTGCTAGTCTAATACGAGTTCCTGCTGAAGTTGTGAAAGAATAGAATAGAATAGAATAGAATAGAATAGAATAGAATAGAATAGAATAGAATAGAATAGAATAGAACAGAACAGAACAGAACAGAACAGAACAGAATAGAAATAGCATAGGAGTAGCATAGGAGTAGCATAGGACTAGAATGGAATGGAATGAAATAGAAATAGAAAATGCTTTATTTGGCCAAGTGTGATTATACACACAAGGAATTTGTCTCCAGTGCAGAAGCTCTCAATTTAAATGTAAAGCAACAAAGTAATGATAATCATAAGATGGTGCCAACAAGATGGGGTAATAGAGATCAAGAGAAGGATAATACTATTACTACAGCCATACAGGATGGGTAAATATCCTTAGGCATAAGACATTGCTGTGTGAATTAGGTCTTTCTGTCTGGTTGTTTTAGCGTGCAATGCCCTATAGTGGCATCCTGAGGGAGGAGATGAAACAATTTATATCCAGGAAGTGAGGGGTCTGTAGATACTTTCTCAGCCTTCCTTCTGACATCTGATTCCTCTACTAAATAGTGTTAGTCCTCCACTGCTCACATTAAGGCCACAGGTTTCTTGGCCGTTGCAATCCTTGCCAGGTCTTGCAGCTCCACCAAGGTCTTACTCTTAAATTATATTGGTTTTTTCAGGTTGCTTGTCTAATACGGGTTCCTGCTGAAGTTGTGAAACAAAGAGCACAAGTGTCCCCATCCTCCAGTACCTTACGGATCCTTTCCCAAACTGTCTATGAAGAGGTAAGCCTGAAGAGAAGCCGTGTGTGTGTGTGTGTGTGTGTGTGTGTGTGTGAGAGAGAGAGAGAGAGAGAGAGAGAGAGAGAGAGAGAGAGAGAGAGAGAGAGAGAGAGAGAGAGAGAGAGAGAGAGAGAGAGAGAGAGAGAGAAGGGGTTCTCTAACTTATTGGAGCTAATAAATAGTATATTAGTATATTCAGGAAAGAAAACCCTAACTTTGAAGGGTTGAAGGGTACATCACAATGAGAAGATATTGTGAACACTTTTGAAAAATGGGCATGGGGTGATTTGGCTATTTACAATATGGCTGCCATGAGTTAGATGACAAACTTCAAAGCACCAGTTTGGGAGAATTTTTACCTGCACCTCTTCTAGACCTCTTCCCACAGGACAGTTTGTCCTACCGCTGCCTAATTTCTTCTAGACGGGTTTACAAATTTCTCAAACTTTCCCCTGAAAAATGTTTGTATGTATCCCTTTCAATATAGCGAGACCTTATTCTTTAAGCTTCCCATTGGGGCAGGTATGTCCCAGCTCTCATTTGCTCTGATCTGCAACTTGTAGACAGTTGAAATTGGGTGCCTTGAAGATGTTAAGTGTGCAGAATTGTTAGTGAACAGAGGCAATTTATTGAAGGAAAGCACGCATGCACACACACATGCACGCACGCACACACACACACACACACACACACACAGAGAGAGAGAGAGAGAGAGAGAGAGAGAGAGAGAGTGAGTTCAGTGAGATATTTATCCCTAACTTTCAATTAGGATTCTAATCAGTTAGGATCTTGCTATAAGTAATAAGAGCAGTAAGTTCTTTCAACAATAAAGCATTATTGGTTTAACAAAATACTGTAGGCACCCACATACTTACACACGCTTATATCTCCAGTTATCTCTCATTACTAGAACTGCCCAAACACCAGGATGAGAGAAGGGGAAGCTCTTATCCAGATCAGAAGCACTTTCTCTTTTCCAGATTTTATAGTTGGTATTGCTGGGACATTAATGGATTAATTGCTACTTGTTCATTTGTCTCTTCAACTGGCTTCCTTAGATGTTTGCTTTTATGCTTTCCATGCATATGTGTATATATTTTTAGATAATGGTGACTCTCTTTGTCTAATGGTAACTGTATAATGATATTGGCTCTAACCTTCCAAAATTTTTATTTTTCTTTATTACCGTAGTTAGCTGAGGACACTTAGCTGAGACAGCTATCTTAAAAAAAAATTCTTAAGAGGGAATTCTTGGCCTTGAGAAAAGATGCAGGGTGTCATATTGTTTTTGTTTTTAATTAGAATTGAACTTAACTGAATTAAGTTAACCCAAATAATTTAAGTTATTTATTTTAATTGTTTAATTATTACAGTCGTTTTAATTTAATTAAATTGTTTCCAAGTTGTTAAATAGTATTTAAAATAAGGGAGTATTTTGATGATTAAATTGGAAAGTAACTGACAATAAAAAGAAAATAGAAAATTTAACTCTCTGACCCTGACAATGAAATCAGTATGAATTTTTTAAAGTTTATTTTTATTTATTAAATTTCTTTGCTGCCCATTTCGCTGTGAGGCAACACTGTTAAATATTTATTTTTTCCTAAATTTAACTTACAAGTAGCCTTTGTTTAACAACCAGTCACTTCATTATGATGGACACCTCAAAAGTTACTTGTGACACGATTCTGGAGTTTTGATGGCAGCACAACACAATGTGCACGCGCACACACACACACACACACACACACCCTATGCATTTTGGACACTTGGCAACCAGCTGACCTTCATGGCTGGTTGCAGCCTTCCATGTCATATGATACGAGTTAGAAGTTGCTTTTTTTGGCTGGTTTCCAGCAAAGAAATGCCCATAGGATTGTGACATTTGTTTAACAACTGCCTTGTTTGCTTAATGACCACCACAAAAAAAGATTGTAAAATCAGGTCAGTTACCTAAGTGCTTCAACATACAACCATCATGACTTAAGAGGGAAGTGTTGAGCTCCATTACAGTCATAAGTCCAGGAGTAGCTTTACTTTCTTTTATGGTATGTATTTTGAGTAGCCAGTGACTATAAGAGTCAGCAACAGATTTCTTTCTCTCTTTGTTCTTCTAGGTTATTAACTTTATATTATCCCTTCAATGTCCAGTTCTAGATGATGAACACATTCAAAAGTGAGATAAAACTCAGGAAGTCAATGGGTAGTGTGTTTATAATCAATATTGTCAATTTCCTGGAAACCATTACATTATCCTTAGTAAAGCTGTTCTGCTTATCATCTACCGTAATCCTCAATATGTTTTCAGCCTTCCCTAACAATTTGCAGGAGTTGATTGGTTTTCTTTGTTGATTTTTTTAGGGTATCCTAGGACTCTACCGAGGTTACAAAAGCACAGTATTAAGAGAAGTAACACAATTTGCTTTTCTATTTCGTTAAGGGGGAAAAAAAGCATTGATAAGGAGTGATAAAAAATGCTTCTTCCCTGAATGGAAAACAAGGCTCATCGTGGAAGAGTTTGCACTGAGACTTCATAGTAGTTGACTTTGTGTATTGCTCTGAGGCTTTCAGTTACAGCATAATTTAGAGACTGGATGAGTAAATGAATAACATTAATAGGAAAAACTGTTAATATACAGTAATTAATCCTGACATTGCATTGAATACATTCTCTATTATGTAATGGCCTGACCTGGCAAACTGATTGTAGTCTTCCTATGGTTTTAACTTGTGTACACATTTAAGTAGCAAAATAGTAATTATTGCATGTTCTAAATGATTGAATGAATTACACAGGGCCCTCAAATACAAAATGAAATGTAGAATGCTATAGAAATGCTTCAGATAAATTATGTTCTAACTTATTAGGAGTATCTTCCTGCCTTCCTAACATAGAAGCTAATTAAGGAACCAGTCTGGACTTATTAAAAAGGATAATTTGTTCCACAGCTCAAATCCAGATTAAATATTTTTAATTTGCAGTGAATAAGTTGGACCAACGATACTAGCAATTTTTGATAGCAATTGGTGCAATCAACCTATTTTTTAAAATGTATAATTTATTTATGTGATTTATATAGATGTCCATCTTTCACAGGTGACTCTGGGCAGCTGACAAGTTTAAAACAAACAATCCCAACAAAGTAACCTCCCACACACCAATGGTAACCCACTCATTATCAATAGTAGCAGAACTTACCTATCTCCTGATCCAGGCATCTGGGAGGATAGCCAGACCTTCAATGGTTTGCCCCATTGGTATTTGGAGCGAATAAAAAGTAATTTCAATTAAAGCAAAACAAAAAACAGAAACAAACTAGTTCTAATAAAAAAGGCACAAAAAGATGCTTCTAGACCAGGGCTAGGCAACCTCGGCTTTTATGACTCATGGACTTTAACTCCTGCTGACTCAGGAATTCTGGGAGTTGAAGTCCATGAGTCATAAAAGAGCTGAGGTTGCCTACCCCTGGTCTAGACCAAGAGACAACGTTTATCTGCATGGTGTTGCATTTATGAGCTGCAGTCGTTTTTCCTTGATTCAACAAGTATTTGTCCTTTCATTTTCCTTCTCTTATATCCTTAAAAAGAAGTCTAATCCAACCACAGTCTTTCTGTAAATGAAGATTTGGTGGCATTGCCAATGGAAAAAAGAAGAAAGCATCCCTAACACATTCAAATTATCAAATGCTTTCTGCAAGTCCAGAAACTTCAGTGCGGTCTGATTTTCAAGATGTTATGAATATTTTAATACGTTAAGAAAATATTTCTAATATTGCCCCTTAACCATGTTTTAGGCAAAAAGCGCATTGATCTTCATGTATATAATCATGCAAGACACTTTTCAACCTTTTAGCTAAAGTCATAATATTTTTTTTAATTATTATTCAATAAAGATATTAGTAATCTTTTTTGATAGTCAGGTCTTCACCTTCTTTAGGAATTAATGCTATGTTTGCAGCTGACCAACTTTCTTGTATCCTAACACTATCTAGAATAGAATTCATCATTTTTTGAAGATATTATAACAGTTCATCTTCAAAATATTTATAATAGGAGGTTGGCAATCTGCGTAGGTCTGGAGTTTTCCTTTTTTTTTTAATAGCCTCACAAAATTTTGTTACTGTTATAGGTCCATTCTATCTGTTTATTCATCATTTTAGGTAAATTTTGTTTCTTTGAACGTTCATCCACTTTTGCTGGGGAAATTTCTCCTCCTTTGTATAGTTTTGTACAATACTGATATAATATTCTTTGCATATCCATATCATCCATTATAACATTCCTATTTTGTAATTTTAATCTATTCCTTCTCACTTTCTTTTCTTAGTTTATATGCTAATCACTTCCCCGGCTTATTTACTAATTCAAAATTCTTCCACTTTGCAAGATTCATTATTTTCATTTCTTTGATCATTAACATAAAAAGCTGGCGTTGTAAAAAATTAATTTGCTGTGAGATATTTTTAGATTTCAGAATATTATTTAGCAGAATTGTTGGCAATTATATATGACATACAAATGCCCAGATCTGTGTGTATATATACATATATACATAATGTATACAGTATATAGCTTTTGAGTCAGCACTGACTTCTGGTGCAACTTTCTGATTAAGTCCTTGCAATTTTCTTGACAAGGTTTTGGAAATGGTTTGCTACTGCCTTCTTCTCAGAGCTTAGAGAAAACTGTGTCAAGATCACCCAGATGGCTTCATGGTTAAGACAGGACTGGCCAAAATTGTGGAAACCTTTTGGGAAAAGTGTACAATAGAAATACCACCTTTGGTTAAGTTTCTACCCATTTTCTTCTAATTTCTTTATAACTGTAGCCTTGTTCACTTAATAATACTATTTTACATCACTTTCTGGGCAACGAGTCAACTCTTTGCACCATTATTTTACTTTTGTTACGTTTTACAAACTCACTAAATGAAAGAACACAAAAAAACCCAACCAACTTGCTAGCGATCACATAACACACTGACAAATGTCCTCCTCTCAGCTTCAATACATGACATCAATAACTGAATCCTACTGTGATTTGATTGGCCCATTACCAAAACAAGATGACACCCAATTGGCTCTCTAAACACTCATGCTCATTGGCTACAATCAGATGAAGGAAAGATACCTGATATCAACCTAAGCAAGTTGTGCTTCCTTTTTCTGGTTATTTGGCTCTAACCTTTCATAGAATATAGTACAAATAATTGAACAAACTTTGTTGCATTACATTCTTGATTAAACTATCTTTCCATTGATATATAATTTTATGGAACTACTCCCCCCAAAAAGTGGTGTTATTAGAAATCAAACACTTTTCCCAAAAGGTTTCCACAATTTTGGCCACTACTGTAGAATGCATGGTCTCCTCCAATATTGTGAGGTGCCCCAAATTTTTGTAGCTCAAAGCAAATGTAGTCCAAAAGAATGTGTTCTTTGGCAAATGCCAAAACTTAACCACAATTGATCTCAAAAACTAGTGCAGTTGGGCAGGAGGTAACACTAGTCTTCCGGTTTCTAGTTTGATGCATTAATCTCTACACTAATCTATCTCTCTCCATCTCTCTCTCTCTCTCTCTCTCTCTCTCTCTCTCTCTCTCTCTCTCTCTCTCTCTCTCTCTCTCTCTCTCTCTCTCCCTCTCTCTCTCTCCTTCCCTCCCTCCCTCTCTCCCCTTCCCCTCCCCCTCTGCTCCCCCCTCTCTCCCCTTTCCTCTCTTCCTTTCTCCGGCTCTCTCCCTCTCTCTCAACTTTCCCTTTTTGGGAAGGGGAGTAGGATAAACATTTTGGGCACCATAAAGCAAGGAGGTTAAAATGTTTTGCATGCTTCAACACAAAATATAAATTGTGAAACAGCTCGGAGTTTTGTGACATCTGAAAATTGCTACTTCAAATGCCAATTTCTTCGGTAGTTTATTTTTTTTTCTTTTAAATCTTTTCCTTGATGGGTTTTGATCAGCTGGTAATGACTATCTTGGGCTGAAAGAACATCATAATGACTTTTTGTTCTGTGTGTAAATGCTGTTATATACACTAACTGCTAGAACCTTCACAGGTATACTTCCTCTAGTTACTGGGAGAAATGGGGATGGGGTGTGCTTTTTTGTAGCACCTCATATATATTTTTTAGTTGTATGAGGAGATGACACCTGCTTTTCTCAAAACAGGAACACCCTCCACCTTCTTGTTTTCTGGCTGACTAAACACAGGTTGCTTGGCAAAGATTCCACTTAAAGTTGCAAAAAAGAGAAAGAGAGAAGAAAGAAAAAGAAGATGAAAAGGCTAACAAGGCTTTTTGATTTCTCTAAGGGCCGTTGAATAAATGTAGTTGGTAAAGAATACTGATTTGATTTCTTTTTTCTTTTTTGTATCCTATCAGATAAAACACACACTTGCAATGGAATGCTATTCTCTCTCAAAAATGTGTTTTGACATCTATCAGGGTGGTAATTAATTTCCAGGCCGGTCTCTTAGCATAAAACCTGACCTTTGTTTACTGAAAATGGCAACATTTTGTTGGAATTTAATTGGGGCCTTTTCTATTATGTATATTCATAAAAAGTTCCTTCAAAACCAATTTCATTTGAAATATTGCTTTTGGGGGGCGGCAGGGAAGCACCTGCCCAAATAGAATGAGAAACAAATTATTGTTGAAATGAAATGCGACTTCGCGGCAGAATGAAACAAATCACAAATGATGAGCTGTACAATGCTGTTAGATCTTTTCTAATGCTGTATGCTTAACTCTATGTTAAAAGGCTGCTGTTTCCCAACTCAAAATATTGCTGGTTTGTGGAAAACTGTCTGTTAAATTGTTTGATGTGTGTGTGTGTGTGTGTGTGTGTGTGTGTGTGTGTGTGTGTAGATAGATAGAGATAGAGATAGAGAGATACAGATACAGATATATTAGATATAGATATATAGATATATATAAATATATAGATATAGATACAGATACAGATATAGATATGTTAGAGATATAGATATAGATACAGATACAGATATATTAGATATAGATATATAGATATATATGGGTAGACAAGCCACTGGCATGTTGTGAATCCATATTTAAGTTAGATCAAAGGAGGATAAAAGAAAATACAGACATTATCATTTTTCTTGAAGCGGGAAAAAGTTCTATAATGTATGAGAAGCAGGTTGTTAATTATTGAGGATTTTTTTGTTTTGTTTTTTCATATTGATTATGGATGCTGATAGGACCAGAGTTATGTTCATCTCTTTTCTGGCCTCTGATAAAGTGTGGAGTACTGGACAGGTAGTTCTTGCTTAATGACGTTCGTTCAGCAACCGTATGAACCGCTGAACAATAGGACCTTGCAGTTGTGGCTGTTACAGTGTCCCCAAAAGCACCTGATCACAACCTAGGGTTTTGTCAGCCGGTTTGCGATT